GCCTTCTGCACCAGCTGACCAGCACCAATTGTCCCAGAAAAGCCAGAGCTTCATTTTAGCGGTGATGGTGTCTTGTTACTCTTGTCTATTCTTCAGCCCCAGACAACCATAACTTCTAATTCTTAAAGATAAAAATCACATGGTAAAGTCTTTGAAAAACTCTCAAACTTCCTTCTGAAACCTCCAAACCAGGCTTGGGCTTCCGCCATTTGCACTGCTCTCAGCGTGTGATCTTCCAAGCTCCCACAGAGCATCCCACTGTGCTCTCAATACTCAACAGCTTTTTCTAGCCCAAAGTTCAAATGCCCCCACAGTGCTCCAAAAAACAAAAACCAAAACCACGTGGTCAGGTCTGTCACAGCAATACCCCATGACCTAGTGCCAATTTCTGTCTTAGGATTTCTGCCGCTTGCTTACTGGCTTGCTCCTCCTGGTTTAAGAGCACTAGCCAAGGGGTGACCCCTCCCCCCTGGGCCCTCCCACATCAACTATCAATCAAGAAAATGCACCACAGGCTTGCCCACAGGCCATTCTTGGTGGGGCATTTTCTCAGTTGAGGGTCCCTCTTCCCACACGACTTTAGCTTGCCTCGTGTTGATATTAAAGTAGCCAGCACAATGACCAAGAGCTAGAGGATGAATTTTACCTAAACAAACAACCACAGCAGAATAACCACATGCTAATAATCAAAAGTCAGGCTGGGGCAAAGGGAGGAGCAATTAACAAGATGGATTCAGCTGGCGCGCTTCCGAGAAACTTGGCTGTGGGCTTTATTTTAGCAGAACTGGGGACAGAACCTAACATTTCACACATACAAGCAAGCACTCAACGATGAGCTTTATCTCCTGCCTCTTAAAATTATTTTAAAAAATGTGTTAGTGTTCATCTATTTATTTAAAGGGGGTGCAGTGCACACATGCGGGTCAGAGAACAAGGGGAGTTGGTTCTCTCCTATCATATGGGTCCGAAGAATGGACTCAGGCTGTCGGGCTCATTGCAGGCACCTTCATCCTCTGAGCCATTTCCCTATTTCATTTCCCTCATTCCCCTCCCCTTTACAGTGTAAGACTTGGTCTCAACGGGGAAAATATCTCATTTTGCAAACAAAACTCGTGAGCAGCCACAGCACCCGGTAGAAACCACAGCTGGGTCCCTGGCGCTGTCTCCTTGTGTGTATCCCAACTCAGCTCCGGCTGGGTGGAGCACTGATCCAGAGGGACAGGGTTTCATGGCCTTGCTTCAGTCACGTCCTCCTCTCCTGTTCTCTTCTGGGGGAGCTAATGCTAGCTGCTGCTCCTTGTCCCCTAAGGTTCCGCTCAGGCCCCTCCCCCAACCCTCCCACGTGCCTGACGTGCCCTGATGAATGGGGTCATCTAAGACCCCATTCCCTAAGTCAGCAGACACCTGGAAGAAGGCAACTCAGCTCTTTCAATCTCAGTAACCCCAGGCACTGATTACGGCCCTTCCCACACCCTCCCAGGTCTCTGCAATCTTCTCTGGGACTCCTGTATCCCCTGCATCCCCTTTCCTACCTCCGCACCGCAGATCTACACGGGCTGAGCACTAAGTACCGAAGGTGCTCAGCTATCCCGAGGTCCCACACCCCAGTTCACCTGTCACCTCCGCTTCAGCCAGACCTCAAGTGACGCCTTGGCCTTGACACCTTATCTCTTGCTCCTCCTTCAACAGCAGCCCCAAGGATGCTTGGCCTCCTGACTCACTCGCCTCTGTCCTCCCCACCCCCCTCCTACCACACAGAGAGCTTGGCTGAGACAGAGAACGTCATTCAAATTTTGGAAGCAGCTGGGCAGTGGAGGCTCATGCCTTTAATCCCAGCACTCAAGAGGCAGAGGCAGGCAGATCTCTGTGAGTTCGAGGGCAGCCTGGTCTAAAGAGTGAGTTTCAGGACACGCTCCAAAGCTACACACAGAGAAACCCTGTCTCAAAAAGCTAAGAAAAAAAAAATTTTTTTTTTTGGAAGCTCCTGCTCAGAAACCATAGGCCTAGGAGGGTAAAGAAGCCTTATGAAGCTCATTTCTTCCTCTTTGCTGTGGACGGTCAGAGCCTACAATACAGCAAACCACGGAGAGGAGTGGACAGTCAGAGCCTACAGCACAGCAAACCACGGTGAGGCTATCAGTTGGACACATGGAAGATGCCGACTGTCAGGCTGGTGCAATAGCAACTTGGCTTTTGCTTTGCTGAAGCTGCTGTTTGCTATTGGAACACATTCTTAATAAATGTGATTGTGTCACATACTTTCATATGCATTTCTTTTTTTTTTTGCTAATGACTTATTGTGTGGTGGTTTGAATGAGAATGGCCACAAAGGTTCACACATTTGAACACTTGGTCGCTCGTTGGTGGAACTGTTTGAGAAGAATTAGGAGGTGTGTCCTTGTTGGCAGAGGTGAGGTTTCAAAGCCCACACCATTCCCATCTAGCTCTTTCTGTCTCTGGCTTGTTGATCAAGATATAGGCTCTCACGTACTGCCCCAGCACCGTGCACGTGTCCTGCCTGCTGCCATGCTATCTGCCATGATGATCACGGACTTTAACTTACTAAAATCGTAAGCTCCAAATAAACTCTTAAAATTGCCTTGGCCATGGTATCTTAGCAATTTAAAAGTAATTAAGACCATTTATTTTACATTTATTTTATGTAAAATATGATTATTGAAGGTTGAATGAAGCAACCATTTCTGAAAGAGGAACTGTTACTCCTTTATGTCTTTATTTTAGACTATGGAGATAAGGCTAGACACAAAGCAAATGTCATAAAGATGGGACCAATTTACAATACCAATGCCCTTGGTCCAGGCATTGCTAAGGGTGCACAGTGCAGTGGCCAAACAGCTCTGCATGGAGATGAGAGAGCCTTGAAGACGAGGAGCAAAGGCCGGGCCACACTGGGAGCTGATGGCGACCAACCCAGAGCAACCATCAAAGTAGACCCTCCTCCAGCCACAGGGACAGTCACCCAAGAATTCAGTGTAGATTGTTCAGGTGTCACTCAGCACCCAGGCAACCTGGGCACGTGAAAGGCCGCGAAAAGGGGCTCAGGAGCTGCTGGGATTCAGAAACATTAGAGTTTTGGACTTTTGTGTTCTGTGCAGCAACAGGACGACCATTTCTGAATCAGATCATGGCAAGTAGAGAAAACAGTGTCTAGAACAGTGGTTCTCAACCTTGCTGACGCTGCGGCCCTTTAATATCGTTCACGCTGTGCTGACCCCAACCATAACGCTTCACGACTACTTCATAGCTGTAATGTTGCTAGTTATGAATCATAAATATCTCAGTATATCTGATTTGCGACCACAAAGGGGTTGTGTGTGACCCATATGTGTTGAGAACCCACTGGTCTAGACAACAGGCTGGACCCAGAAGAGACCTCCCAAGTCTCTGTCACACCAAGGGAAGGCATGGTTGCTGCTTGGGTTCTGTTGACCGTCTGATCTAGCTGCAACTTTCTCAGTCTGGTGAAAGCATTCACCTAAGATGTGTGCTCTGTAGATCCAGGAGAAGCAACGAACACAGCACCACCTACCGCTGGCACCATCACCAGAAGGGGCGTGGTTCTTCCCTATATCATCTGACCGCATGCCATACAACCAACACTTCAAAAGTTGAGCGAACCAAACTCCAGTGTTTGCCCTTGTCCACCACACCCACTGTCCTCTCATGGAACAAGGATGTGTTTGAGCCTGCTGATGATTTAATAATTGCTCTGAAACCTAGTATGTACATGACCACACTCAACAAGTATAGCGGGAACTCAGCTCTCGTTACCAGATCATTCTAGAGGGCTCCATCTGCTGTTTTCACTGGTGAGAGTTCTATGCCTCTGTGATACCAACTGTTATCTCCCTCTGTCCATCTGTCCCGTTCAATGCCTCTGTGATAATGACTGTATCTCCCTCCATCCGAGCCTCAGGACAGAGACGAGTGCTCTGCCAAGGTAGCCTGGGGCCTGGCGCACAGTTGTGCTGGATTGTGTCCAACCCCCTTCAACCCGTTCTCCCTTCCTCCTGGCTCTGTGCCCATGAGGGAAGCGACCTTGTGGGTCATTAACTTGTTCCCCAGGCCCTGAACCTGGGCTTGGCCACTGGGAGACATGCTAGAGAAAAGCACATTATAGGGTCATACACCCTCTTCCCTTAAGCAGCTGGCAGCTGTGTCTCTTCAAAGATCACAACTCATTTCACGCCATCCCAAGGACTGCTCTCCTCCAGGTTAGGTGAGTACCGGATGGAAATGTCTCCCCCCCACACTCAGCCCCACTACTTCCTCCTGCATTCCCATCATCCTTGAGTTGCTCACATACTCCCAGTCTGTGCATCACGTCTACCTGGGACACCATTTGGCACAGAGGATCCACGGTAACATCTGCTGGGTGAAGGAAAGCATGCCTTACCTACCCATGACTTAGGTGCTAGGAAACTGGGAGTAAACACGCTTCATAAAGAAGTGAAGAACACATATGGCTCTTGCAGAAGACACCAGTTTGCTTCTCAGTACCTTCATGGTAACCCAGATCCACCTAAAACTCCAGTTCCAGGGAATCTGATGCCCTCTTCTGGTCTCTATGGGTACTGCATATATGCAGGCAAACACTCATATATATGAAATAAATCATAAAAAGATGACATGAATCAAATATCACATTACACCTCAGAAATACACACACACACTCAAATACATACATATATACATACATACATACATACATACATACACATATGTCAATCAAAAAAAGGGGAATGACATTCTGGACAGTGAGTCCCCAACATGATGGCTCAGCTGAGGTCTGCTAACCAGCAGGGAGATGCCTGGGCAGGCAGAGAAGAACTTGTGTGCCTATACACACAAGTTTCCAGGTGACATGTACACTCAACATTTCACACCATGAGAAACACTGCCCTAGAGAAATGCCATCTATGCTTGGACATTGAGCCTTACAGCCTCCCTGATCACCTTGAAGGATGCAGAACACCAAGTGCAATGTCAGCTACGCTTTATTATACATCTCTTGATCTCCAGACCCTAAACAGAGGGTTCTGTTATAAAACAGAGAAAGGGGGAAATAAAAAGAAAGCAGTCATTAGATTAAATGCTGGGGTATAGATGACTGGGGTGAAGGTGCACAGTTACTGGGCTCAGGGCATGAGTAGTGCGGGTCCAGTGGGCTGAGCTCAGTGATGGCAGCAAAGTCAGGGCGTGGGTTGTCCCGAGACCTGGGGACGTAGATCTAGGAGTTCCATCCTGCTCCGCTCAGTCCAGGTTTCTTCCTCGGCATCTTCAGGTTAGAACAGCCTGCCCTACACATACACACATGCACACCCACACATGTGCACACACATGCCAGGCACACATACTCACTCACACTTGCAAGCAGATCTCCTGATGTCAAGGCTCCACCTTGGGCTCAGCTACCAACTTCAGAATCAAGGTATCTGCTCGTCTCCTTGGCAGACTGATGAGGCCACTGCCCAGGCAGATATCTAGCAGCTTGAGGCCCCAGCAGGAGGAACAGCCTGCTGGACACTGTGGACGTGAGGGAAAGTCCCACGGGGACCTGCAGGTGGCAGCCTCAGTCAGGGGGGCACAGAAACCAGCTCTGAAACCAGCTCTGCAAGGTCAGCTCTGCCCCTCAATAACCAGTCCAGGAGGAAGCACAGTGCCAGGAGGCTGGTGCCCAGCAGGTCCCCCAGTCCCGTGAGATAGGGGATACAGTGGTTGTCAGGATCCAGGGCTTGGTGCCAGGTCAGCCGAACCATCACTTCTGCCAGGTACAGCAGGATTACCACCTGCCAAAAGAACAAAGAGATGTAAGATAAGTCAGAGACCCAAGGACAACCAAGAGCACCAGCTGGCTTCCAAGGACACCACCAAGGTCAGCCCGTCAGTTCTCTTTCGCCAGCGTGTCTTGGACATGCGCTGGTAGCTTGGTGCTCACTGTGGTGACGCTGAGGTGCAGGGGGACCTTTCTGAGCTGAGGCCTGGAGCGAAATGGTAAGGTCGTGAACAGACTGACACTTCTTGTGGGAGGTCCCCTGGGTCTGAATCAGTTCTCAGAACAGGTTGCTAAAGAACAAGGCGGGGCCATTGCTGCTGACTGGCTTCCTCGCCCACATAGCCCCTTTGGCCACAGCTGGCTTTCTGTCCACTCGTCTGCGCCTGCCACATGCTGGCTGCACCCTTGAGTGCTGCTGGTTACAACTGTAAGTGTGAGTAAATCAACCTCTTCCATTTGTCCATGACTCAGCAACACAGAAGAGGGTGGGGCGGGGTCTGGAGCAGGTTTTGGACTCAATTACCATATGTCCTTCCTAGTGGCTGGGTCCTGCCCTGGCCTCTGAAGTGCCAAAGGGACCTGCTGCCACTCACCAGCCAGGATCCCCTCTGCTTGAACCCTTTCCCCTCGGGAGGTTGGTGAGCCCTTGTAGAAGCTTCCAAGAAGCAGTCCACATGGCCCTACTCAGGTTGCAGTCCCTGCCCTGTTCCTTCCCCCTAAATAAAGCCCTGAACTTTACTAGGTTGAGAGATGAGGAAAAACTTCAGTCTACCCTCCGAAAACTGCCAGAGTGCCCATAGTCCTCTCTGCTGACATTCTAGGCCACCGGGGACATTAGCCAGCTGGCGTCTCAAAGCAGCAGCAGCTCCTGCCTGGAAGGAAGGCTATTCGCGTCCTTCAGCCCCATGCAGAGCAGGGCCTTCTGTGAGGGGACGGACAGCTGGCTCAGCCTTTTTCACAGAACACAACGCATCTATAGCTGCTCTTCCAGCTTTCTGAGGCGTGTGGCATGTGGAGCAGAGTGAGTGAAGTGTACAGCGTGAGGTGTGACCGTGCAACACGCAGTATGCAGTGTGCAGTGGAGTCGTGGTGCGAGGTGTGTGGTACACAGCACAGTGGCCTCTGTCTAGTCCATGTTTCTGGGCTTGCGTGAGCTGGGTGGATCTTTGATGGGAACTCTACTGCACCTCCCACGGGACAAGGACCACTGATGTTGGCTGGGAAGCCACCCTCACCTGGATCATGCCTGCCGCCAGGTACAGCAACACGAAGGTTTTACTGCTTGTCACTGCCTGGCCTTCCACCAGGCAGATGAGGTAGAAGAAGATCAGATGTCCTGGGACCACCAGAAAGAGCAGGACTCGAGCTGACACGGAGTTGATTTCTAGGAGGAACGGAATCAAGAGGATCACAAAACCTTCCTGCTTGCAGAGGCCCTCTTGGCAAAGAAGAGTTCCCAAAGAGGCACCCAAGCTCCTTCATCTGCAAACACGTGGCACACTATGAAGTGGGAACTCAGTCCTGACCTTTCTTTCCTTCTAGGGGCTGGCATCTGAGGGAACAGATGAGAATCAGTTGAGCACACACAGAAAGAAGGTCATTCGTTTTACATGGAAGCTTAGACTAGGAAGTGTGTACAAGTGGGGGCAGCTCTCAGGGATTCTAAAGACCCCTGCGTGGAGGAGGCACAGGCTGAGGTCCGACCCTTGAGTGGAAGGTGACAGACTCGCAGGGCAGACACCCTGGCAGTGCAGCGGAGGCATCAGAGAGCTCTGGGCTCTGGCTCTCCCCTGCTCTCTGAGCTTAAGCATCTGTAGTGAGTGGACTTCACCCTACCCAGACCCAACAACAAACAGGCGGACATGACAGCCGGTGACTGTGACGCCTTCTCAGACACAATTGTACAGTAGAAATCATCTCTGTCCCCGAGAGTGTCGGGAAAAGGCAGGGAAGTCACATGCCAAACTCACAAACTCCAAGAACAACGAAGTGAACTAAAACAGTCAACAAACGGCGCAATTGTTTGGGTGGTTTGGGTTGCTAGGGATGGAGTGTAGCTCCGTGACACAGCATTTACTGAGCATGCTCAAGGCCCCAGGGTTCCATCCCCAGCTCCAGAGAAACCACCTTTGGGGAACAGAGGGGAAGGGTATCATGCAGCCCAGGATGGCTTTAAACTTCAGATTCTCCTGCTTCCACCCCCCAAGCATGGGATTGCAGGTGTGCGCCACCACATCCACTTTTATGTGGTGCTGAGAATGGAATAGTCAACCGCGTTACATTTCCCAACCAACCGTGTGTGCACGCGCGCATGCAAGAGAGAGAGAGAGAGAGAGAGAGAGAGAGAGAGAGAGAGAGATCCTCAGGGGTATCTGCTTTATTTTTTTTAGACAGTGTCTGTTATTGATTGGCCTGAAACTCCCAGCAAGCTCCAGGAATTCACCCAGCTTGGCTTCCTAGGACTGGGGTCAGGAGCCCACACTGTCCTGCACGCTCTTTGTTGCTGCTGTTACCTTTGTTTCCGTTGTTGCTGTTTTCTAGACAGTGTTTCTCTGTGTTGCTCTGGCTGTCCTGGGACTCACCCTGCAGACCAGGCTGGCCTTGCACTCAGAGATTGGCCGGCCTGCCCGTGCCTCCTGGTGTCTGGATTAAAGGCGTGTACTACCACTGCCTGGCTTTGTTTTTGTTTTCTCATGTGGGTTGTGGGGATTGAATTTAAGTTCTCAAACTTGGACAGCAAGCATGTTTTCCTGACCCAGTCATCTCCTCAGCCCCAACTCTTTTTTTTTTAAAGGCACGCAAAGAAAACCTAAAAGGAGGCTATGAAGCAGGCAACAACCCCAGAAGATGCAGTTTGTAGGGGCAGCATGCCATGTGGGGCAGCCGGGCTGAACACTTAAGGAAAATTGTAGGAAAACCAAGTGTAAAGAATAATTAAGTAAAATGTGTGGTGCATAAATAACACAGAAAAAGGTTTTCCAACTTGTAGATGACATTAGAAAAACATGGGCGCATGTGCACATGGTCACAACTAAATGTGAGGTTGAGGTGAACAAACCATCACCCGAGCCCAGGGTTCAAGGCCAGCCTGGGCAGCATAGTGAACCCTCCCACTGCAAACATCAAAAAAACAAAACCAAACCAACGACAAGGGGTTGGGAATAATTTAGGTCACATGGCCCCAGCAGACAGCATACTGACCTGAAGAGCAGAAAACGAGGCATGGGTTAGGCCAGAATCTTTTCATCTGGACGGGGAGGACGCCAGGTGTGCTCCACATGTGCAGGAAGGTAGAGATGCGGCTGGTCTGAATGGCCACCAGGTTGCCACCGACACCTGTGAGAAGAAAGGGTGTGACATGCTCCAACCCCTGGCTTTTATTACTATATACTGCTTTCCCCAGGACAGTATCCCAGAGTGACACAGCATTTCCTCTCTCCTTCCCACCCAGAGGGTGGCCCAGATCCTGTGAGTGATCACTCTGACAGCCAGTCTCTAAGACTAGTGAAGTTGAACAGGCAAAGCCAAAAAAAAAAAAAACAAAAAACAAAAAAAAAAAACAACCCTGGCTAATACTGTGGGTGACAGAGGGGATGGGTGGATGGGATCCTGACTAGTGCAGATGGCCATGCCCACAGGTACAGAGGGGATGGAGGGGTGTCCTCAGGGAGACTCAAGAGGCTGGGGAACATTGTACAGAACACTGACAGGATCCAGGAGACCAGTAGGAGCCCAGAAGACCAAGAGCATGTTCACACCCTGGAATTCTGAGACATCTTGCTGAGGCTGTGAGTCCTGCAGCATAGAGCTGGCAGAGGACAGGCCTGTCCCTGACAAGGGTCCACAACCCCACGGGAACTTTCCTTCACTAGGCCATGTGAAGACAAGCAGCCCAGGTGACCCAGCCTCTCAGAATGTCTCTGTTGTGGTTTCTTCAAAATTCTACAGCCAGAATGACTTCAAAGCTGCTAGCTGAGGTGGTTCAGCCTCAAAGACTATCCAGCCAATGCTTCAGCTAAGCCCTGCACTTCCCCATCACACAGAGACTAAACAAATAATACAGCTAGCTCTCCCAGGACTTGACCATTATCCCAATTTTCTCACATCTCCTAAAGATGCCATTTCCCCCAAACAACAAGAAGCAATCTAGAGAACATGACACCCACATTCCCAAGAGGTGGGGTATATGTTTTTTGGTCATTTAGAAGGTTATGAATATTATTTATAGGTTACCATCTTTAGGGGAATTGGTTACAAGTTGTTACTGGTCGTGTTCAGGGAAAAAGCTGAACCAAGATTAGATTCAAGGATCTCTTTCTGAAGGGAAAAAGGGGATGTAGTATAAAAGTGATGGCATAAAAGGTGGATTGCTCAGTTTACTTTTTTGAGACAGGGTTTCTCTGTAGCTTTGGAGTCTGTCTTGAAACTTGCTCTATAGACCAGGCTGGCCTCGAATTCATAGACATCTACCTGGCTCTGTTGGGATTAAAGGAACGTGCCACCACCACCTAGATTGAGTTTCCTTTTGAACTACTAGTCTCAAATATTTTACATTGGATTTTTGTATATTAATACAAATTTAAGGTTCTTTTTGCTATACTGTATATATGTTTCTACTCTTGTTTAAGGTATTGAGCCTATGCAGCTCAATTTAAAAATGTACTGTAAACTTTTAGTCCTACAAACCTATTTAGGATAATAAAGATGGATTAATATAATAGTCATCTATAACAATCAAATTTATAATCACGTTAGGTATGTTTTCAAACATACAGGTCAAACAGAAATATATTTTAAATAGATGGTCTTCAAACACTTCAGAGACCTACAGACTATGGCATTTAAAATGTTTTAATAACATAAAGGTTTTCATGATAGTGAAACATGTCTGCTCCTGGCAGCATCAATTTACTTCAAAAAAGGATGACAGACATTGAAGAACCTCCATATGGAGTTTGCATTTGTTTGTGGCAAAGTTAGTCACTGTGCAGAGTCAAGGCAAGTCACTGCCCTTGCCTCAACTGCTGACAGTATGCTGTCCAAATTGGACAAGCAGGACACAAAAGAAGGCAACTAACAAACTTTGCCAAGACAAGGTAGGACAGTTCTTCAAACTTCCTGCCTCACAGAAAAGTCTGTCAGATATTCTAGGCCTGTAGGCTGAAGATGGATGCCCCACTGTTGCAGAGGAACCTTGGGTGACTGTCCAGGCAGCCAGATGTTGTTTCTTAGTTTTAGAAGTTGCTTGCTCTGCACTTCCTGTTTACTCAGGTAATATTATGCCCTTCTTGGGTCTCCGACAGGGATTGAAGATTAGGTAGTATATAGTTTTCTTTGTTACCAAATTAAAAATAAATGTAAGAGAAAGTTTATAAGGTTGAGAAACATAAAAGCTTAAGTTGTTTATCTAAAAAGATGTTTTTAGAATAATACGGGTTATGATAAAAAATAGTTTAGGTATAGAACTTTGGACTAATACAACGTTATACATTAATACAGCAGGATAGATAATGAAGTCCTCTCTCTGAATTTGCCAATTGCCTATGGACTAAACATTGTCAATGTACTTCTTACTTAATATTTGTTCTTATTGTATGTAGTTTTACTATGTTAGCGTTAAAATCTTTTCTTTTTAATTAGGCAAAGAAGAAAATGTGGGATACTGTACACCGTGTGAAGATTCATTGCTGTGACTGGTGTAATAAAAACCTAAATGGCCAATAGCTAGGAAGAGGTTAGGCAGGACTTCTGGGAACAGAAAAGACTCTGGGAAGAAGAGCAGAGTTGCCAGTCAGATAGAGAGGAAACAGAAGGTGCAAGATGAAAGAGAAGTAACGCCATGTGACAGAACGTAGATTAATATAAATGGGTTAACTTAAGTTATGAGAGCTAGCTGAGGCAAGCCTGAGCTAAAGGGCATGCATGCTTTCATAATTAATAAGAAGTCTCTGTGTCATTATTGGGGTTCACGGTGGAAAAGAAAGTGTGTCTGATACATGATTAATAAAAACTCAGAGAAATTGGGGTTCAACCTGAAGATCCGAAAGGAAAAGCACCCATCACTGGCTCTTACCTTGACCTCAGTCTGAAATGGCGATCCTGCCTCCAGGAATCTCAGAATGAAACTGTCTGGGAGCTGTTTCCTCCCATTTTATATTCCTCTCTAGGGCTGGGATTAAAAGCATGTACCATGGGGATTAAAGGCATGCACCGCCCAGTTTCTATGGCAACCAGTGTGGCTACTGGGATTAAAGGTATGTGTTACCAGTGCCTTGTCTGTAAGGCTGACCAGTGGGGCTGTTTTTAACTCTCTGATCTTCAGGTAAGCTTTACTAATATACAAATGAAATGCCACTATATCCGTTTACAGCCATGTGTATGGATGCATCAGGGAAACCCAGGGTCTGAGGTCAGCCACATGATGACCCCAGTAGAGAAAAGACATCCACCTGCAGTGAGAGAGGATGGCTGGACATTTGTGTCTACTGACTACACACAGCTTTAAAATAAAAAGGAGAAGGAAAAGAAAATAATTAGTTAAGTTTACAGATTCAGCTCTTTAACCCAATTCCCAACCTTTTGTCAGCTCCCTGATCACCAGGAACCAGCTCCCCATAAGCCACCCTGGCTAGAAGGACAAGGCAGGTAGCACTCCCTTTAGGCCAGGAATGGCCTCCTGCTAGTCCCACTCCCCATCATTGTCCAGTGCCCTCTTGTTTGCCTGACTTAGCTCTATGCAGCTAGGAGTCAGGTTGTTAGCAACCCAAATGTTCGCAGACCGTGGCAAATAAGGCAATGATAGGAAGTGAATCAGCGCAGGACCCCAGGGAATTGTGGGGGCTGACGCAGAGTGGTTGTTGTCATGCTGGTTGTTGTTGGGCCCAGAGAGTAAACCCACTACTGCTGTGGGCTTATTTTTAAGGTGGAGACAGAAATCCAGAGTCTTATGTGTTAATGTCTGAGTTTTAATGTCACCAATGACTGTAAAACAAACAAAAAAAACTTGGCATGGTGCTCACACCGGTAATACCAGGGAGGCTGAGGTAGGAAGATCATCACCATGGGTTCAAGGCCAGCCTGAGCTACACAGAGTTCTGGGGCAGCATGACCTACAAAGTGAGACCCTGTCAGCAGCAACAAACTGGTGTGCTTCCTTGCCCTCGTGCTCTGGGCCCCTTCAGATCCTTTGCATCTGAGGAAACTCAGCCCAGTGGGTGTGTAGGCTCTGTGGCTCAGCTGGCCCAGCCACCAGAACCTGAGGCTGCACGCTGGCGCTCAGTCCCTACCCAGCCCAGGGACCCCAAGAGGAGCCACCCCAGCACTCACCACAGATGACGGGAGTCAGGACAGCCATGCCTTTAAACTGATGTTTAGAGACAGTTCTGCTTAAGATGAGGCCTCCGAAACTGGGGAGAGAATGGAGCTGACATTAGAGTGGCCCGGCCACCTGCCCACTGGCCACCTTCCCAGGCTTGGCAAACATTGCTTCCCTACACAGAACGCTTGCTGTAGCCCAGCTGTCTCCTCGTGTCATGTCTCCACCTTTAGTCCAAGCCTCAGCTGTTCCAGGAGGTCCTTTGGATGATGGCAACCCATTACATAAGAGCCTTCCCAAGGCCATGAGCATCACAGGACCTCCTGGCTAGGCTGTCATGGGATGAGACACAAGCCCCCTCTCCCCCATCAAAGACCTTGCTTCCACCAGAAGCTGGAGTTTAGGAAAGGCTTTCCTAACTCTCGAACTTTGTAGAGCCTTAGAAAAGGAGATCAGTTTTTGTGAGTAACCATGGAACATTTTAGGGGTGAAGTGTTGTGAAATATTGTTTTAAGGTGTGCTGCATTTGTTTATGCCGTGGAACATTTGTTAAATGATGCAAAGATGTGTTGCATTTGTTTAACTCTGTGAAGCTGTGTTACTTTGCCTGTCTAAAACACCTGATTGGTCTAATAAAGAGCAGAATGGCCAATAGCTAGGCAGGAAAGGGATACGAGGGGCTGCCAGCGAGAGAGAATAAATAGAAGAGGAAGGAGGAGGACACCAGGGGTCAGACATAGCCACATAGCCTGCAAAAGAGTAAGGAGTAAAGAAAAATATACAGAAAAAGGCCCAGATGCAAAATGTAGATGGGATAATTTAAATTTAAAAAAGCTGGCTAGAAATAAGTCAAACAAAGACAAGGCATTCATAAATAAGAATAAGTCTCTCTGTATTTATTTAGGAGCTGGGTGGCAGACCCCTACAGAGACCAAAGAGGAATGAATGAATGAATGAATGAATGAATAAAGCTAGAGTAAAGATAACTGAACCATAACCTCTTTTCCGTGAGATCTGGATTAGAACATCACAGAATGGACTGCAGTAGTCCCTGTCAACATCTCCTACCAGAAAACGTAGTGGGCCCAACCTTACAGCTCTCTGCGCCTCACCAGCAGCTATGCTGGGGTAGTGACCATGGGTGGGAACTGTTTCCCTGAAGCCAGGATGAGGCACCCTGAAGCCCACTGTGATGGGTGACTTTTGTCAACTTGACACACACACCTAGATCTATCTGGGAAGAAGCGATCTTAACCGAGAAAATGTCTCCACTAGACTGGCCTGCAGACAAGTCCAAGGTTTATTTTCTTGATTGACGACTGATGCATAGGAGGGTCCAGCACACTGTGAGTGGTGTCACCCCTGGGCAGATGATCTTGGGGTGTACAAGAAATCAATCTGAGCCTGGGGGATCTCTGTGAGGTCTAGAGAGTTCTAGAACAGCCAGGGCTACACAGTGAAACCCTGTCTCAAAAAACAAACAAGAAAGAAAAAGAGAGAAAAAAATAGAGAGAAAGGAGGGGGGAGGGAGGAAGAATGAAAGGGAAAGAAAGAAGGAGAGAGAGAGAGTAGCCTAAACAAACCACGGGGTCAAGTCAGCAAACAGCTCTTCTCCGTAGCCTTGCTTCAGATTCTGCCTTCAGACTCCTGCTTTGAGTTCCTGCCTTGACTTCCTTTAGTGGTGGACCAGAAGCTGGAAGCTAAAATAATCCCTTTCCTCTTGGTGTTTTATCAGAGCACAGTAGCCCTAAGACACCTGCAGAGGCGTCTCACTACAGTCAGTGTTCCACGGCACCAGGACCGGGCGTGGAGCTAGGCTGGCCACACTCGCTTGCTCTGCCCAGCTTCAGGTCTCCCAGCGGCCAGCACTCCTGTGGTTGGAAGTGGCCTCAGGAGAGTGGATGGGGCCTAAGTGAGGGGTCCAGAGAATACAGTGTGTGAAGCTCACTCACTCTGGGGCTCAGCACAGGTACTGTGGCAGGGCCACACCGGACCTGACCTCACGGCAGCTGTCACCCTCACGCTGAGTGCTCCAGGGCTCTTGGGAGGGAGGAGGTTGTTGCATAACTCGACTGGATTAAGGAACACCTGTAGACTGGTGAGGCACACCTCTGGCTGTGCCACTCGGGGATGTGTCTTTCCTTGTGGTCACCATGATGTGGACGACTTTCCACACATAGAGACTCACCTTCATGCTCTGCCCAGAAGCGTAGGGCCACTCAATCACGTGCTGAACCCCTAAACCCACATTGTCTGACAGGCATTTCTGTCAGTGACAGAAACAGCAACAGAAGGAAAATTAGCGCCAGAGGCATGAAGTCGCTGGCGTGACCAAACCTGACCACATGGTTCTGAGCTCTTTGGAACTGCTATGACGAAGGAAGTTGGGCAGCCTAGAACGTTCTAAGTGGAATTAGTGGAAGACCAGAGTGGTAGCAGGAACCTGGATAGTGAAGGCCTGGCTCCCGTGAGGCTTTGGACAGGAATGAGGGCTCTATTGGGAATTGAGTTGGGAGTCATTCATGGTATATGCTGACAAAGAATTTCGCAGCAATATTTTAGCATGGCTAGGGGTGACTCACAAGGCCCACTCTTAGCTGAGAAGTCACAGGCCATCAATGGCTGCAGAGGAACAGAAAGTTTTCTTCCAGGCTGGGATCCCTGGTAGGCTGCCCATGCTGCAGTGGATCCCTACACCGACTTGCAAGTAGGTAGCACTAACTGGGCTCAGTAGATTACATAGAGATGGATATCTCATCCATCCATCCATTTACCTAGTTATCCATCCATCCATCCATCCATCCACCCATTCATCCATCCATCAACCCATCTATGGAGGACAGGGATGGAAGAAACTCCTAGAGGAGTTGGAAGTGGAAGACTGAGAGATGAATTTGAGAAAAATAAAAGTATTCATGTACTAAGGGGGTAAGTTTTGTTTATGCCCTGAAAGTGGTGGGGCTAGCTATAAATAACTTATTTGGTGGCAATGTTGAGGCATGGCACAGCACTCAGGCTGTGGTGCAGTAATTCTTGCTACCTTTAGTTGGATTTACAGTAGAAATGGAAGCAGAAAGCAAATTAGAAGGACCTGGGAGGCCATCTGCAACTCCAGAAAAGCTGCCAACGGAGGATGTGGCTGTCGAAGAGATTAGTGACAGTCGAGAGAAGCCAAACACTTTCAACTGGCCACACCCTACCCATCCCAGGCTCCAAGATGTTCAATTACAAAATCATTTGAATGGTAGTTCCTTGAGAAGAAGACCTCAGAGGCTCCCTTGCTTATGCAGGCCCAGCCAGGGAAGTGTCTGTGAGCTGAGCCACCCAGGTGCCCAGAGGCTGCTGGACACCTGGTCCAAAGGATACTGCTTGAGCTAGTGGCAGACTTTGGTGTGGAACACACAGTACTGGCTTGCAAGCATGCAGCATGCAAGTGTAGGAGGCTCTGTGGGCAGGTGACAGAAAGACCATAGAGGCTGGACTTCCCAAGCCCACCGAGGCTGGTATCATGGCACTGTGGGTCCCAGATGCCAGACATGCGGCTACAGATTTAATGTTTGCCTTGCCGTGCTGCGGTCTTACTTTGGCTCCTTACCACCTTCTGCAATGGAAATGATGCTTTCTCTGAGCCACTGTGTGTTGGGAGCACACAACTTGTCTTTAACCATACAGAGTCTAGCATCTCAGAAGACCCTGAGCTCAGACTGCTGCTTGATGTGGGAACTGTTAGCACTATGGGGAGGCTTCAAGTTAAACTGCACACATTTGTTACGGAATTTCTGTCACCAGTCTGCTAGCCAGTAGGGGGCAGCGTTTTGATTCAAGAAGCGTGGTTTTCATTAGGAATGGCCCGGTGAAGGGATGTGTGGTCTTTTCGGACCTAGAACAAGCTGGGGATGCAGCAGCGGGTGACCCATTTAGGATTCCCCATTCTTTCTTGTGATATATGCATAGATTTTGCTTTATAATAAATGGTCAAGTATCCTTTGACTCCCTTTATCACACATTCTGCAGTGTAAGGCAGCGGTGAACTTTAGGGAGGGACAGTGGGATGCTATGGCTTGAAGTGATTTGTCTGTTTGTAAACTTGACAAGGGGTAGATTGTCATAGCTTTTTTTTTTTAAAGGTCTCACTATGAAGCCTTGACCAGCCTTGAACTCAATATGTAGACCAGGCCTGGCCTTAGACTTGCCTGTGCGTCCAGAGCTCTGGGATTGAAGGTGTGTGGTACCTTGCCTGGTCTATGATGGTTAATCTTGACTGTTGGCTTGAACAGATCAGATCCCTAGGTGATCAATACTGCATGAGTCTGTCAGGCATTCCAGAGACATCTCATCAGAGCTTGGTGGGTGGATCAGTAATCTTCTGGCATTGTTGGAAAGTGATGAAAGGCAGGAGGCGGGACCTAGTTAGAAGGAGGCGGTCCCTAGGGATGTGACTCCCTGGAGGCTGCATCTTGGCCTTTTCCTGTATCCTGGTCACTTCCGAAGTGAACAGCACTTCTTCATGATAGGCTCCCAGGGCCACAAGGGCATGTGGTCAAGTGATCTGAACCCCCTGAAACAGTGAGCAAAATCAACCTTCCCTCCCTGAAGTCCTTTCCTTCAGCCATTCCCCTCACAGAACAGAGGGTCATTGTTCCACGCTGCTCACCTGCTGATGACCATAGCCAGGATGATGGGGAACCACCCATACTTCAGGATCTTCATGATGGGTGGGTTCTGCTTGGCGATGAAGATCCACAGAGGGGTGAGAGCCATGAAACCGACACAGACCAGTGGCGTCAGATACCATGTGTCTGAGGAAAAGCAGACATACATAGCTCGTGTGGCCAAGGCTGGCACACAGAAGCTGGTTGGGGTGTGGTCTTTCACAGTCAAGAGGTGAAGTCTGGAACCGAGGCATTTGTCCTACCACACTTGCCAGAGAGTAGCTGCTAAGCAACCAGGAAAGCTCCTCTCTGCCCTGCCATGTCCCTTCACTTCTCTGATGTCCTGGCAATCATCAAGAACCTCGATCAGGCTTCCCTACCCAGTGTTATAATAAATAGAACTAGGACAGGGTCTGGGCAGGTGGCAGCCTTGCATGTGTAACAATTTTCCACTGCCCTGCTTGGAGGTGCCAAAATAACCCAGAAGAGCAAAGAGGCCGCTACCAGGGCACATAGTTGTAGGGCAGAATCAAGAGAAAGCTTTCTCCTGACTGAGTCTCCTGTCTCATCCTGCTCTAGCATCGTCCTTTCATCCTGTTCCTACCCTCCTGAGCAGTCTCAATGCCTGGTGGCCATGCAGGCATGCATGGTCTGTGTTTCACTCTCCTTCTCTGGGTGGCATTGTTGGGAACACCCTCTCCTCATTCTCCACAGCACACAACTGTGGTCTCTCTGTCTGTCACGGGTGCTCCACGTTAGTTATAAACAAAGTGCTTTGTGGTAAACATGGCTAGCTTCTGTACCATCTCCAGAGCTGGAAGGCAGGTCACTAACACTCAGGACACAGTAGCCTGGGGAACTGTCTCCTAACACTTGGGAGGGCGGTCACATTTCCCATAACTTCTGAGAGGAGCCATCCAGCTCCCACTGCACATCCATGTCTCTTCCTCACGGCTCCTGGCAGTTGTGAGCTAACTCTCCCCAGTCAGTGAAGACCTGTCTCCTGGGGCCATGCCCGCTGTTTCCCTGAGAGGGGAAGGGGATGGTGCTCTTATTTGCTTTGCAAAACATAACTAACTTCCATGCAAATCTTGTTTGAAACTCAGTGCGGCCTGAAAGTACACAACTAGGTCATCTTATCTGATTCCGAGGCTCCTCGCTGTCACCTAATAGGACAGAACTCAGTCCAGACTGGATGGAGGTGTCCCGAGTGTACAATGAAGGTCACACTGAGCGGTTCTATCTGCATCCACTGATTATTTCTCAGGCCTCCGAATCCTTCTTCCCACAGGGCACTGAGCTGTGCCAGATATTTCCTCTAGCGACTGACACAACACGCTCACCACCACTGGCTGCATCCTCAAGGACAGACACATCCTTCACCGGAACAGCCAGGGGGGAGGGGGGGTGGAAACTGACAGCCCCACGTCTGTAGACCTGAGCTGTTCATCTACCTCCACACTCAGTTTCCCCAGCCATCCTGGACGTGCTGAGTGACTCCAGGTACCCGCCTCCCACTCCCCCATCCCCACTCCCACCTCAGGTACCCACCTCCCACTCCCCCATCCCCACCCCAGGTACCCACCTCCCACTCCCCCACCCCTACCCCCACCCCAGATACCCACCTCCCACTCCCCCACCCCAGGTACCCACCACCCACTCCCCCACCCCTACTCCCACCCCAGATACCCACCTCCCACTCCCCCACCCCTACCCCCACCCCAGGCACCCACCTCCCACTACCCCACCCCTACCCCCAACCCCATCTGCAGGCTTGGGCTCCACAGCACCCAAGCTCCTTTCTTTGGGGATGATGCTACAGTTCCCACCCAGGCTGGGGTGATCTGCGTAGGTTCCTCCTTGGTGCCTTCCCTACCTCTGTGCCTGTAGAAAAAGCTGCTTATCAGGGCCAGGATGGATAGTGTGATGAGGTCTCCCAGGCTGGCTGCAATGGGCGTGGCGATGTTATCAGGGTTGACCCCGAACTTCCGGGCACCAACCACTATGCAGATCATTAGAATTCCTGCAGCAAAAAGAGGGAAGGCCCAGGGAGCAGTGGTAGTGAGATGGGGTTAGGGGCCCTGGGAAGGGTCAAGCAGGTGGTCAGAAACTCAATAAATAGCTATATCTCTCAAAGTCTGGATGCTCAGCAAGCTGCCCACCTCCCTGAGTTTCTGTCACTGGCTGGGACCTGGAAACCCTGAAGCCATACCTGAGCAGGCAGGCAGCCCCTGGCCTCGCAAACCACCTGGAACTAGAGCCACACAGTACTCAGAGCCTCTGCTGCATGGAGGGCTGCTCCAAGGATGCTCTAAGCAACAAGAGCCTCAGGGGCAGAGGGACCTAGCCACCAGTACCTGCTGGGTCCTCTGAGCCGCTGATGTGGAGGATGGGGAGGGAGGGCAGATGGCTATGCGGTGGAGGGCTCAGCCAGATATCAGAGCTACCCTGGGGTCCCTTATCTCAGGGGCCCCGCTATGCCATCCCTGTGACTCTGAAATGCAGACAGCAATGGGCTTCATGGCTTACCTGGGAGATGAGAGAGCCCATTTCCAGGATCTCAGCCCCAGGACTCTCTGTTCTCTCTGAGGGCACCTGCCCTTTAGTCTTGCAAGATCCTTTTTACTAGCAGGGCTTAGCCTACTTCACAGGATTTTCCCCATCTCCCACCCCCAGTTCTTCAAAACATTCTGTATCTTGGCTGTTAGAATCCTGTGACCCTAAAAATAGTGACAGTAAGGCCCTGGGTTTGGTCCCTAGCACCACAAAATGAACAGAATTAAAAATAAAAATGACTACATTCATTCTCAAGACTGTCCTAATGCTGCCACATCTTGCCACATTGTGCCAATGTGTGATCAGACCAGACCCCTCCAAGTGGGCCTGAAGTTACACAGTTGAGCCAATGGGTGGCGCAGGTACCACTGAAGCCCTGTGAAGAACACCACTGCTTTGGGAATGCTTATTAAAAACAATTATGCATGCTTGTAATCCCGGGAAGCTGAGGTAGGTGGCTTGTTATAATTGTGAGCCAATTTGCACATGGCCCTGTAGTCAACACTCTTGACACATGTAGAGGCCAACACACTAGATGAAGAAAGCTGCCATGCTCAGGTTTCTGACCTCAGCAAGGAGTGATAAACTCAAGTCTGTCAAGGCTGAGGGTAGGGACAACGGAGCTCTCTCAGGCATGCACACCCTCTCTGCACACATACACACATGTGCACACATACATACACTCACACACACATATACACACATATACACTCACAAGTACATCTTGGACAACAGAGCTGCCTCAGGCATGTATATACTCTCTGAACACACACATGCATACATGCACTCATACACATATGCATACATACACGCACACACTGGACAACAGCACTCCCTCAGGCATGTAAACTCTCTGCACACATGTGTATACATGCGTACACACACACACACACACCCCTTTGAGAGGACACAGGGCAGACTGGCGACCTAGCAAGCTCTTCCCACCCACTTCCAGACCCCTGAAGTTCCACACCAGTGCCACTGCTGCATGGTTCACCTCTCCGGGAACCTTAACAGAACAGCAGAGAAGTGGGTCTCGACTTGGGGACACATGGGACATGGCTCACCTAGGGCCAAGGCGGCAAGGAAGGCAGTGATGACGCTGCTTGTGCACAGCAATGCCACCTTAGCCCAATTCAACTCCTCTCGGGACACCGCACCAAGCAGCAGGGAGGCCAGTGCAGCCAGGAGCCCCACGACAGTGGCCTGCACCTGCCAAGACAAAAATCAGACCCATAAGAAGGGTCCCTAACCACTGCCACCCTCTCTGATCTTCTGACTCTTGATCACCTCAAGGACCAAACGAGGCCCTCATTACTACCTTATACCCTTAACCCTGGACCACGCTGGCACTCAGCACTTCCCTCCAAGGTGACTCCAAGGAGAGCCGCCCTGTCTACCTTTGTCCCATTGAGGTGCCACCTGCAAGCGGATAGCAAGGTCTTAGAGGGACACCTGTCTCTGGCTCAGAGCTCCGTGCTCAACTGGCCCAGGTACATACTCTACAACCCAGACAGTAGTCGCTGACTGGCCTCTCTCTCCTATGATAGCCTCAGGCCCACAGCAATAGCTCATATGCCTGCCTCACACCCCAACTGTCCTGTCCCCGGCTCATGTTCTCATTACAGTGACTGCCTCTGAAGCAGGAGGCCACTAAGTCCCTCAGCACCTACAGTCCAGGTCTGTATAAGCCAGCATTAGGACCCCCAATTCAAAATGTCTGTATGGAACAGTGCCCATGACCAAAGGATGAAGGAACACAGGTAGAGCCCTGTAATGCCTATAGACAAGAGAATCTGGTATGTGTGGGAAGATGGAGTTCCGGGTGTTGCTCTCCAGGAGTTGTCCACTTTATACTTTTCACTTTTCTGTAAGAGGGTCTAGGGCACGTGGAGGGGAGAGGACAACCTGCGGGAGTCAGCCCTCTCCTTCCACATTTGGGTTTCTGGGACCAAATCAGGTCCTCAGGCTTGGCTACAGGTGCCTTTACCTGCTAAGTCATCTCATTGACCCAGATTTGAGGTTTGCATTTATTTATTTTGTGTGTAGCAGGTGAGGGGCACACATGCATGCGTGGAGGTCAGAGACAATTTGTAGGAGTTGGTTCTTTCCTTCACCATGTGGGTCCCAGGGACTGAACTCAGGTCATCGAGCTGGACAGCAAGTGCCCCTACCAGCTGAGTCATCTTGTGATCCCCCACCCCTTAATTTTTAAGTCATGGACCTGGGGCTGCTTTTACATAAGGCCGCTGGCCAGCAGGCCCCAGGGATCTTCCCGTCTCTGCCTCCCCAGTGCTGGGACTTCAAGAGCACAGCCCACATCTAGCTTTGTATGCCAGTCATGGAGACCCAACTCAGGTCTCTGCTTGTGCAGTGAGTATAACAAGAATCCCAAGTTAAACAATGCCATCCCAACCAGAGCCCCCATAACCAATGTCATCCCAACCAGAGCCCCCAGAACCAATGTCATCCCAACCAGAGCCCCCAGAACCAATTCCATCCCAACCAGAGCCCCCAGAACCAATTCCATCCCAACAGAGTCCCCATAACCAATGTCATCCCAACCAGAGCCCCCATAACCAATGCCATCCCAACCAGAGCCCCTATAACCAATGCCATCCCAACCAGAGCACCCAGAACCAATGCCATCCCAAAAAGAGCACCCAGAACCAATGCCATCCCAACAGAGTCCCCATAACCAATGTCATCCCAACAGAGTCCCCATAACCAATGTCATTCCGCACAAGATTCTTATGGTGACTGACGACTTGCTCAAAAGGCCACAGAGATGAGTAAGCACATGTGCAGAGCCAAGACAGCTAGTGGAAGAGGCCCGGGGGAATTACTGGTGTATGTCAGAGACATTGTAAGTATCAACTGAAAGGTGCTATAAAGCTGGAGAGAAAAAAGCAATACAGCACTGCCATAAAGAGACAGACGGAGCCACAAGACAGAAGGGAGCCCAGAAAGTGAGCACAGGAAACTGCACTGTTAAACGAGGCTAGCAGAGAGGGGATGAAGAGGGATATCCTGGATATATGACCTCAGCGGACGAATATTAAATAGCTTGGACAAGGGAAATCAAGTGACAATGACCAGAAGGGTGGACTCCCCCGCCCTGCTTCACACCCTTAAACAATAAACCCAAAGGCGTGAAATAAAAGGATATACAATAGTCTGTTTAAGAGTTTTACAGCCTGGCATGGTTTGTACATGCTCTTCCCACAATTAGAACCATGGCAGAAGGATTAAGACAGCAAAGTTGGCTGAGCTATTATACTCGGAGACCTAGCAAAAACAAAATAAATGTTTAAAAATATCTCTGACCAGCAAAGGCCTCCTTTTAAAGATACAACATAAAATCAATAAAGAAAAACACAAAGCCAAACATGGTAACACACACCTACAATACCTGCTACTCTGGAAGCTGAGGTAAGGTCACAGCCCAAGGCCTGCCTGGGCCACAGAGTGGGTTCAAAGCCAGCCTGGGCAACTTAGCAAGCCCTGGTCTAAAAACAAAGTAAATAAACAAAAGCAGGGATACAGCTGGGGAGTGGAGCTTTCACCTCGATGTATGTGGTTCAGCTGCCAGTACAGAAAAAAGCATCTATATATAGTGTATTATATATGCAATTTATATGGGTTCCTATATGATAGATACCAGGGCATCATGGAGAAAATGACTGACCCCCTAGTTTTCATGAAGAGTCTCAGTAGATTATGACACGAAGCATGGAGGAGATGGCCCGGCACCTGGTACTGCTCACACACAGGTGGTGAACGGCGACTCCCTGGTGACCTGCTTATCCTTCAGGCCTTGCGCTGTTAGCTTGAATTCAGAACATCCTCAGAGGCCCATGCTTTAAGACAGCTATAGGAAACTGTGTGGACCATGAAGAGGCAGTTTCCTGGGTGATCCTAGGTCCCTGGAAGAGTGCCCTCAAGAGACTGTGGGGCCCCAGCCCCTCCATCCTAATTGGTTCCTGGATATCATGCGCTAGCTTTGCTCCGTCATGCATCACCATGGGCCCCACAGCAACAGGAAGCTAGGAATCAGTGAGCCACGGCCAGCCTTCCCTCCACACAAGTAGACTGTCTCAGGAACTCCGTCACAGTGAAGGAAAACACATTCACACACCAGGTAAGACTGCCACGACAAAGGTGGCCACAGGCGGAACGTACTGACGAGTACATGGAAGCTGATTCTCGTTCGCTGATGGTGGGAGAAACCGGGATGGGAGTTGGGGGTGGGTTGGGGGCATAGCATCTTTTCCAGAGAAGTGTTTGCATGTGTGAACAGTTGGGGTAACAGCAGGATAGACGGAAGTGGCTGGGGGTCGTTCACAGGCTGCTCTAGCCAGGCTGCTCAGCAAGCCTAAGCCATCACAGGGTGAGAGCCATAGAAAAGAACTCCACGCCCATGAGTCAAGAGTTCTCTGTGGGTGCGTACATACAGATGGGGAGCACAGGCAGTTTGAAGGGGAACCTTCCATGCTGGTGAAGCATGGAGCAGCCAGTGATGCGGCCACCCACATGCCACTGCAGTACCAGTTACTCAACAGCCAACAGCCTGACTATTTTGTGGGATGTTTTGCTTTTTCCCAGATGGGGGAAAATCTAAGCTTAAAACTGTTTAGAAGGTCACATGGTTCAGTCACAGAGTGCTGATCCAGTTCGTGTTGAGACTCTGGGTTCTAGTTCCAGTTCAGACAGACAGACAGACAGACAGACAGACAGACAGACAGACAATAAGCCTTACTATAAAGGAGAATGTGGCCATGCCAGTATCAGTTAGGAAATAAAGCAAAGACTAGGGAGAACTGAGGCTCTCGCTCCTGGGACAGCAAGGGAGTGAGGGGCTGGCTGCTCAGTGGCGCCCTCAGTCTCGCTGGGGAGTCCCCACACACCACGATAAGCTACACAACTCCACACTGAGCGGCTGGAGAGATGACTAAGAGCAGTTAAAAGCACTTGCACTCTTGCAGAGGACCCAGGTTCAATTCCTGCAACCCTTGTGGTATTCACAACCATCTGTAAAATCCAGTCCCAGGGGATCTGATGCCCTCTTCTGGTCTCTCTGGATACCAGGCATGCACATAGCACGCAGACATCCATGCAGACAAAATACCAATATACATAAAATTAAAAATTTAAAAAAAGAATCATGTTGAGAATAAATGACTGTTCAGTGCTCAGCCCTATCCAAGACACCAACATCAGCCTCCCCAAGGCTCAGGGAACATTAGAGAAGAGGTGGCAGAAAGAACATCAGACCAGACGGACGGAACAAGTGCTGTGAACTGCCACCTTCTGGGCACGACCTGACCATCACTCTCAGGAACCCAGGTAACAAGATCCAGCCGACAGGATCAGTCAGCACTAACTGGACTCAGTGGGTTACCACAAAAACCGGGGAGGACATGGGGATGGGAGGGTCTGTGTGGGTTGTTGCTCAGGAGGCGTGGGTAGAATAAGTGGATATGAGCAAGGTACACTGAACACAGAGAAAGTGTCAAATGATTCTGAAAATTAATTTAAAACTTCACCCTTGGTTCCACATTTAAATGACAGAACATGTTGAAGTTTTTTAAAACTCAAGCTTTGAAATTTACCCGATGACTTATGACTCAAAGTTAAGCCCTTTTAAAATGGAGGAAGTAAAGTCATATGCAAGCTACATTTGAGGCAGCATGCACTGCTGTGGGATATTTGCACACTGTGAAGGTGTATTGCTGTGACTGGTGTAATAAAAAGCTGAACAGCCAATACCTAAGCAGGAGGTGTAGGCGGGACTTCCAGGGAGAGAAAGGAAGAGAAGCAGGAATCTAGGTACACGGGAGATGCCAGGAGACATGAAGAGGAAACAAGAAGGTGGAAGATGGAAGAGAAGTAATGCCACATGACAGAGCATAGATTAATATAAATGGGTTAGCAATTATAAGAGCTGGTTAGGAATAAGCCTAAGCTATAGGCTGAGTTTTCATAATTAATAAGAAGTTCCATGTCATTATTTGTGAGCTGGTGGCCCAAAGAGAAATCCAACTACAATGAAAGTCTAGCCAGGCCCAGGAAGGCTTCATAAGTCCTGAAGCTCTCTGTGTGGAAGGTTCTAGAAAGGCAGGAGTGGCATGCCCAGTACTGGGCATTTGTCACCTCTTTACTCGACCTCCTGCTATGACTCTGAATACTACTTTAATCTCCCAGCTACTCAGCGACAGGCTTAGTTCTGGCCCATAAGACTCAGCCCAGGTACAGAAGGAAAGAGCGGCTAAGACAGGCCTGAACCGGAACAGTAAGGTGGGAGGCACATTCACTGTAACCAAGAGGGCAAGTGTTGGAGGACTATACACACGCGCATGCACACACACACAGACACACAGACACACACACACAGACACACACACACACACACACCACTTAAGAGGGAGAAAACTGGGGCAGCACAGCGCTTAGACTAGAGTGAGTGTCCAATGTGCTTTAGAACAGCACGCATGGAGGAGAGATGTCCCAAGAGCAGACAGCTGCATGCTGTAAAGGTGGCAAGAGAGAGATACTGTGGCTGGATGTGGGGTTGGTGAGGGACACAGGGCTCATCTACACAGAGGAACTGCAGAACCAAGAGGAGGAGGCATCTGCTGGCTTAACACAGAGACAGAAGCAGTTGCAATGGGCATCAGGTCTACGGGCATCAGCAGGGGGGAGGAGGAGAGAAGCAGGGCTCCATTCAAATGCTACTCAGAGGGAAGAGTCTTCACAGTGACAGGATCATAGTGACAGGATCATAGCGAGGGGATCACAGTGATGAGACATGAGACTTAGGGGAGACAGCAGAAGAGGGCAGCTGGGAAATGGCCAAATGGCAGTTAACTTTTCATCAGCTGTAACGAACTCCTCAAGACAACCAACTTAGAAAGAGAGGAGGTTTGCTTTGGCTCACAGTCTTAGAGACATCAGTCTGTGGTATGCTGACCCCATTGCTCTGGGCCTGTGGCGAGGCAGCATCACGGAGGATGCAAAGCAGTTAGTTCCCCTCACAGCCAGGAAGCAAAGCAGAGCAAGTTGGGGCCGGGTTAGTGTTTTTGTCAACACAAGCTAAAGTCAAATGGGAAAGAAAACAGTGGTGGGATGAGCAAGAATGATCTCACAGGCTCAGGCACCAGGAAATGGAACTCTCTGGTAGGATTAGGATGATCAGGAGGTGTGGTCTACTTCTCCAGCACAGTGTCTTCCTGTGTGCCCCTACTCCCTGCCATAATAAGAATGAACTAAGCCTCTAAGTACAGTAGGCAGCACATCCCAAAAGGGAGAGGACTGAAGGGTGGCACAGACCCTGTACCTGAGAAGGAGAGGGTGCAAGTCCCAATGACATGCTTTCTTTTGTAAGAGTTGCCTTGGTTGTGGTGACGTTTCATAGCAATAGAACAGGACAAAGACAGGACCCTCAGCTGAGAAAATGCCTTCTCTGTCAGAGGAGACTGTAGGCAAGACTGTGGGGGCATTTTCTTCATTAATGATTGAGGTGGGAGGGCCCAGCCCATTGTGGGCGGTGCCACACCTGGGAAGGGTTGGATAAGAAATCAGGCCGGGCAAGCCACTAAGTAGGGCTCTTCCATGATCTCTGCTTCAGTTCCTGCCTCCAGGTTCCTGCCTCGAGTTCATGTCCCGACTTCCCTCAGTGATGGTCTGTAAACAGTAAGATGAACTAAACCTTTCTTCCTCGTGTTACTTTTCATCATAGTCTTTCTCGCAGCAACAGAAACCTGACTAAGACAGAAGGGGTCCCAGGCAGCATGCTTCCCCGCAGTGGGCCAGACTGGTGTCCAGCAGAACCGAGTGCAAAGGAGGAATGATGAAGCCAGTCTAACTTGCCGTTTAGGGGATGCCTCTGGGAGGGGCAGGGTTCTGACCCAAATGACAGGAAGAACAGGGGTTACTAATGGACAAGGACACACAGCCCTGGCGAGCCTGACCTCAGTCCATATTCCTTGTGCTAGCAGGGGCTGCCCACCAGAAAAGCTCAGAGGCCCTGGACCACAATCCCTACAGAGCCAGCTGGATGTCCAACCTTCCTTCTTGCCTGAGTCTGTCTTGCCTCCATCTGTTCCTGCCTTGGGTACCCCTTCTTCAGCTTACTGTGAAAAGGGCCTAGATAGAACTGAGCCCATAGAGGGCCTGGTATGGAAGGAGCATGAAGGCCTCTTGCAGGCTGAGATAGCACAGGTTAAGTGGCAAGAGCAGGGCTAATGGGGGGAAATTCCAGGTGGGAAAGCGCTTCAGGTTCCAGAAAGATTGAGGTGGCTGGAAGAAAGTGAACTTGGGTGTGTCCATCTCAGAAGCACTAGTGACCCAGGCAAACAGGGTGTTGGTTTCAGTATGGGAAGAAGGCCACTAGCAAATGTAGGGTGTGGCAAATATTGAGTAATCAGATCCCCCAAGATTTGGCTTAGACGGCAGAGAGTACGGAAGCTGCAGGGACCACAGACCTGATGGCATCTCCAGGCAGGTATGGTGACAATCTTCCCTATGCCACAGATATGGTCTGGTGGACAGATGTGTGGACGCATAGACACTTGTCCTCCAAGTCCACCAAAGTACAGGGCACGGCTCACATGGCCTCCCTCTTCCTGCCCAGAAAAGCTGTGGACCCACAGGGGAAGGAGAAGGCGAGGCACTGATGGGTGCTCCAACACTCACCTGAACCACAGCGAGGTTGCTGCTGATGATTTTGTACCTCTCCTGGGGGTCGTCGATTTGTCCGGTGTTGGCCTACCACACAGGGATAAAGGTGTCATCAGTCTGGCCGGGCTGGAGAAGCCAGTCCTTCCGGGCATAGCCAGCCTCTCTCTCTCAGGAAACAAATCAGAACTCAGAACAGATTATGCCACTCAGCTTCGCAGACAGTGACCCACCCCCACTTAAGATTTGTTTCTTTTTAATTGTGTGTGTATGTGTGTGAGTAGGTGCACATGTGTATGTATGTGTGTGAGTAGGTGCACATGTGTATGTATGTGTGTGAGTAGGTGCACATGTGAGTTCAGCCGCCCAGTCTGGGTGCTGGGAACCAGACATGGGTCCTCTTAGCGGCCGAGCCGGCTCTCCTGCCACATGTACACTCCACCTTTTATGAACTGACCTGGACTTTTTTCCTCCCCAGGTTTTGTTTATTTTAGATTTCTGTGTATGGCTGTTTTGCCTATGTTATGTCTGTGTCCCATGTATGTGTAGTGGCTGTGAAGGCCAGAGGAGGGTGTCAGACTCCCTAGGACTTGAATTATTACAGATGGTTATGAGTTTCCCTGTGGGTGCCAGGAACCAAACCCGGGTCCTCTGGAAGAGCATCGAGCCATCTCTTCAGCTCCTCTGGCCTCTTTAGTGGAGAAACAGCACTATAAATATAGAGATGCTGACATCCACAGTGAACAGTGGACACTGACGCCTTCGTCCCTGGTCGTCCATCAGCTTTGGGACTTTCAGGCCCTTGAACACAATATATTTCCTCTGGCTACTGCCCTTTTCACATGCTGGATGTCAAATGGCCGTTGGAGAGAGGGAGGGGAAACCTTTTACGTTAACTAGAGAGAAAGAAAACCATCCACCTGCCATGCCTGGGTGTCTGGGATACGCATGGCCGAGGCAGGGCCTGTGTTGGCTACAGAGCCAAGGGTAGACAGCCATGACAGAAGACAGCAAGGGCCTGAAGAATGGAGGTGGTGGATGGGCAGCTGAAAACCTCTCTCTGTTTCCTCCCCCAGAATCCTCCCTTGAACCTGTACTGCCTACTGAAGCTTCTGTGGGTGTGTTCCAGGGAGGGTGGTCCAGGGCCAGGCAGCAGCATGGTCAACTGGCACCGAGGCTGAGGCGAAGTGAAGGCTCTAGGGCATTGTGCTGGTCCCTCACCATCTCAGGGCAGCCATAGGAAACAGAAAACAGTACAACAGGGAGGAGAGACCTGGACAGCCTGTGAGAGACACCCCAGGCGAACAACACCTGTGTGGATGCGGACTGCCAAGAGGCCAAAAGAAGGAATATCCTGTCCCCGAGACAGCCACCTGCCACTTACAGACGTAGAGAGTCGAGACGCCAGTGTCATCTCCAGGTTTCCCTTCAGACCCACCAGAGGCGGCACCAACGTCAGCAGGTCTTTAACCTCCTGGAACACTGGCCAGTGCTGGAAGGGAGAGAACAAGGAGATGAGTTCCAAACACCCACTGACCTGACTGGAGTATGACCTCCATGGAATAAGGTCTTAAGGTTGCAGGGCTCTAGGTCTAGGCCTCATTTCCCCAGGTAACAGCAGCTAACGGTGCACAAACACATCACCTGTGGGAGGGCAGGAGTCACCCCCAGGCAGCAGTACTCTTGGGGGTGTGGAGGGAAAGGACCAGTCGGAGGTTCTACATGTCAGTCTTACCCCTGTGTCTCTTGAGTGCAGAGGAGCAAAATGTGGTCTCCGCATGCATAGCTTTTAGTGCAAAGTCTGAACATTTTATTGTATTCATAACTTTTATTTCCTCTAGAAAATGCTTTTGGATTTGACCAAATTGACCCACTTGTTTGGATCTTCTATAATAATGACATTAGCCCTTTAAGAAATATAAGCTTTCTCCTTCTCTAAGATAAAGGACTATGTTGGAGACAGAGGCCCACCTGCAGGGACCTTCCTTATCAGTCCAGCTACTGCCTCCCCCTTTGCTGGAGCAGGGGCCTCAGGCCTGTGAGCAGCCATCTATCAGCCCTGTGCACCCCTGGGGCACATACCACACACACCATTGCACACATACTCCTGCCCCTGGCCAGGGCTGTCTGTCACACCCCATCCTTTCCGTGCTCCAGCCCTCACCCACCCTCCTCTGCCTCTCCCCCCCTCCCCCTCCTCTCCTCTGCCTCCCCCTCCCCCCATCCTCCTCTGCCTCCCCCTCACCCCACCCTCCTCTGCCTCCCCCTCCCCCCACCCTCCTCTGCCTCCCCCTCCCTCTTCCGCCTCCCCCTCATCTACTTTCCTCTGCCTTCCCCACAGCCTTCTCCTGGGTGTGCATTCTCCTGCCACACACAAGGAGAGTGTGGCACTTCTACTAGGCCCAAGTCAGAACAAACCCCCCTCTCCCTTACACTCCCTGTCTCAGTGCCAGGAACTCCTGACCAAGTTCCATCCTCCCCCTGTCACAGCTCAGTGGTACGCCATGGCTCAGTGCAGGCTGGCCATGGTTCAGTCTTCAGTGACCTGCCATGTATGAAGGGCTCTTCTAGCTCTGTCTGCAGCCCCCTCCCCTATGTAGGACAGCCCAAGGACATACATAGAGAACAAGCCTGACTCTCCACTTTTTTCTGCCCCTAGCTCCTGCTGGTCTCCTTAATGACTCCACCATGGCCCCACTTCAAGTCCTGACCCATTCTCCCCTTTGAGTCTCCTCTCCTTTAAACCCCTCTCTTTCAAGGCTGGAGTTACTTCCCACAATCAGCCCACCTTCCCCATCGTGCCATGCCCCATGAGGGAGGAGAGGAGACTTGATTCCATGGTCCCAGCTCCTTGCTGGAGGCTGAACTCACTGGTGAGGACGGAAGCCAGCACCTTACACAAGCTAGGAGAATGCTCTATGCTGGAATATACTCCCAGCCCCGGCCATGAGATTTTAGGCATGACTGATCATGACAGGAATCACAGGACAAGAGGCAGGCAGGTTGGGACAAAGTCAACAGACTAGCTGAACTGTGTCCCTAGTCCCCAAAATTGATAGACTGCAGCCCTAACTCCCAGGACCTCCAGATACAAATGTTTAGAGAAGGGTCCCCAAAGAGAGACTGAGTTAAGAAGGCCATGGGTGAGTGAGCCCCAATTCTACAAGACAGGTATCTGACAAACACACGAGGTCAAGCTGTGCAGAGGGTGGTGACTATGTGGCACAGGGAAAACATCGTGTTGGTGGCTGAGGATACCAACCATGCCAACACATGAGCTCATATTTCTAACCCCAGAGCCACGCCAATGTCAGCTTCTGTGGGGCACACTGTCCCTGGGCAGACCAAGTCAGATGACAAAGGGGACAATGGTGACTTCACTCATCACCCAGCTCCAGAATGGCACTCTCTCCAGGCTCCTTTTAGGTGTCCTTGATGCCACAGTCACTTGGGGCTGACTGATGCCCTGGGCTCATCAATATGCCCAGAATCCCACCCACCTTGTGGCTGCCAATTGCTCACACTGGAGTCTCAACTCACCCTCTCCAGACTCCCACCTCTCCTACAGAGGCCCTCGGGCCTGCCCCTCTCCTGCCCACTTCCTGTTCTGTCCACCAAGATTTAACCTCTTATCCTCTCCAATCTGACTTCAAGTCATGCTAACTTTTAAATTCTGCTATCGACCTCTCAAACAGCGCTTTAAAGATAACCGTCCCTGATGCAGGGGTGAGGGAGGGGGTGTGGGGGTGAGGTTTATCAGCAGTGGTAGGCTGCAGTACTGGGAGAGAGCCTTCCTCACTTTCTCCTCCCCCACAGTGGTGATACTGCTGCCAGGGCTGAGCTTTGTGACATAAACAATCACTTCTGACCCACGCTGGCAACTCCATTCCTGAGTAGACACCCAGCTTGGGTCATTAAACTTGTTCAAGAATGTGGCTGGCAGCACCAAACGTCATGCACAGCCAAATGGCAGCACAGGCTGTCAGAGGGGGGCCTGCTGGGCAGCATGGCTAGGCAGGCAGCAGCTAGGCCGGCGTCCCTGTCTGTATCTCACCATGCAGCATGCACACGACTATGCTATACTCCAGCAACACAAAGGCCAATGCTCTGGTTTCAGCAGAATGTCAAGCCCCTTTGCCCTCAGTGTAAACTCCAGCTCCTGGGCGGAATGGACAGAGGCCCTCACAGCTAGCCAACACAACACACACACACGCCCACGCATCCACAGACTTCACTCAGCCCCCTGCGTGGAGATGGCTCCTTCCCACAGTATCCAATATGGAAACGGCCACATTGTCCTCCAAGGCCCACTCAAATCCCTCTCAAGATCTCTGAGCTGCAGGAGGAAGGAGCTACCTCTCCTCCGCACAGGTTGCTCACCACTCCCCCGCCCCCCACTGCCCAGTCTTGACTGACTGGCAAGCAAGACTTTTGGGAGCCTACAACTTGGAAGGGAGTGAGTACCTGGGTAGGCTGGGGCTGAATGACCTCACGCTGTGCAGTCTGGAAATTAGCACGGCTGCCTCAGGTAGGGGCAAGGGCATCAGGGAAGGAGTGTACAAACTCTGGAGGAACAGACTGATCCAAACATTCTGAAGACCCAGTGTTCCATTCTCTGAGGTGAACAAGCAGAGACCAAGTGTCCTAGAATTACTGACACCCCCTCCGACTTCAGGATGTTGGACACAGGTACCCGAAGAGACACTGTGCATCCATCATGGAGGAAATACTGGGTACATGTAGGAACAGGAAACACTACCTGACACAAATACACACGTGGGTTGAAAGTAAATGTAATTTTGAAGATTTAAAAACAACAATGTTGGGGCTGGGGTGGAACCCAGTGGCACAGTGCATGGTTAGCATGACTCTGTCCCCAGCATAACCACTACACACACGTGAGGCACATGAAGATGGCCTTCCTGACTATCATCATATCAACCCTGCCAACATCGTGATCTCAGACTTCCGGCTTCCCAAACCATGATGATTTCTGATGGGTGTCCTTCCTCCACGACTGACACTGTCTAGTTCTTAAAGCAACCCTTGAGCACTGGAGGTAACAGACAGTGTCTCCTAAACCAGGCTCAGGGTGCCTGCAAATGTAGGGAGGATGTCTCCCTCAGCAAATACCCTGCCAGATGAAGACTGCCACCCTTGCCAGGGAGATCTGGGGGCTTACGGAACTCCCATGCCCAGCTCGGTACCTTTCTCCTCCCCAAAGGAGCTACATGGGGACTCTATGGAGGTGGGCCTGCCATTCAGTTCTGTCCATCACCCGGACCACAGAGACCAGCATGCATGCACCCAGGCACCTAGTTCTCACAACTCAGAGAGGCAGGCGCTCTCTTTATTCCTGCTTTACAAAAGGGGAAACGGAGGCAGAGACTCCTGTACTGCGTAGTAGCCTTGCCAAGTAAGCTCACACTCAGTGGCAGGAAGGAGATGGAGGCTGCTGTGGGCACACAGGCTGCCTTTGAGGGCTTCCAAACGTCACCGCTGTGAGCCTTAACATGCTGGATGCCCAATGTACCTTCTCACCGGCACTACCGACACTGGGCCCAGCTCAGAGCTGCCACCCGCTGGGAGGCACCTGGCTCCTTCCCTCCGCCCTGTCTGTCCCCTCTCCCCTGAAGCCCAGTACGTACTTGGACAGTGTTCATCACCAAGCCAGCCGTCATCATGCCCAGGCCCGACAACAGTATGGGTATGGCAATCTGGCATGTGGTGGTGAGGGCGGACTCAGGGAGGACACCATGAGGGGAGCGGGTGAGCTCACAGCTGAAGCCTCGAAGTTTCTTGCCCTGAAAGCGGAACTCAAGGCTGAGCTGAGTGACGACCATGGTTGGGCCCCAGTCGAGTCTGTCCTCTCTCTTCCCTGCCCGCCAAGGCTCTCTCCTGCGGAGGTCCACACAGACAGAAGCTTTCCAGGAAGCACCACAGTGGGTCCCTGACAGCCCTTTGGCAGAGGGCCAGAGCAAACAATGCCACACCGCTCAGAGCCTCATTCGGGAGGCTGCCAGTGTCTTCTGTTCCTTCCCCTGGTCAGGTTCTCCTCAGCGCGCACTGTGTATCTGCCGGGACCTCCCTCTGCCAGCCTGCCAGAGAGGCTCACTATCCCTCAGCAGCGACCTTGACAGTGTCCAATAGTCCAGCCCACGCTAGCCAGGCTGGGCAGGGACAGAGCCCACACAGGCCTGACCCTGGTAAGCACCCACGCAGAGGTCAGCACTACCCTCTGCACATGTGCCATGGGCTGCTTTGCCCTGGCTAAGAAAGGCCTGAGACCGCAGCTCCGGGGATATTCACCCAGGCCCACGTATGAGCTCTGTCCTGCAAGGTCAATGACTCTGTGGGACTGCAAGATGAAAGTAACACTTGTAGTCAGCTCGGAGCCAGTGTCAGGGGGCTCATGGTCACAGTATGAGGCTGTGCTCACAGAGGAACTGCCGCCCCCCTTCCCTCAAAGGCCGGGAAGAGCTATCTAACTGCTTCTGCTTAGGAAGTCTGAACAAGCCCTACTGATCCCCACCCTCAGCCTACAGGGTACGGGGTCCAGCTAGGAAGCCACATTAGAGTCTAGGGATGCTGAGGGCACCCCTTGTATATGCCACGCGCCAGGAGAGCAGACAGACTACAAACTGAGGTCTCCAGCAAAGGCCCCACACTGAATATCTGATGGACCCCCACTAACCTGGGGTCCAACTCTGGGTCTCGGCCTCACCTCTGTCCCATTCCTACCGCACCATTCTCTCGGGCACCTTGCCGCCTCCTCTCACAGATCGTCCATCCCCTGCTCAAGTCCAAACTCCTTTATCTCCCAGGCACAACTTCCTCGCTAACTGCCCCCCCATCTGCCCGCCCCGGAAATCCTCACACGTTTTCACTCACGCTCTTCTGTTCATCTGTCTGGAGTCTGAAGCCTGCCACAGGGGCCAGACATGCACGCCCCTAAACTTTGGTCCTGGGTCTGGTGGGCCACCCCTACATGTCCTGACTGCTGAGAAGCCACCACATGGGGCAGTGTCTGGGCCTGCCTGTCACTTGGGACATTCATGTTGGAAAATCAAGCAGTCAGGCTGCATGGGGAAGTGGTGTGCAGGTGGGTGAGATACCCTGGGCCAGGTCCTGCACAGGACCGATAGGCACTGCCCCGGAGGTGGCAAGAGCGAGCGGTGTAAGAGGAGCTTCTAGGTTTAGGATGCTGAGCCACACAGCATCCTAGAACTGGACCCCATAACCTTGTCCATGCTCTAGATTTTCTTCATGCCAAATGCACCAATCCAGCCTCTCCACCAGCCCCCAGCCTCTCCACCAGCCCCCAGCCTCTCCGCCAGCCCCCAGCCTCTCCACCAGCCCCCAGCCTCTTCCAAACTTCCAGACTGTTCCTCTCAGCTTCTTGAGCAAGAACAAGCACTTTAAACATCCCATTTTCATCACAGTTTATTCCAAAGTGCCTCTGTCAAGCCTTGCACCTCAGTGAACATCTGCCAGAAAGGCAAGCTGAGCCCAGACACCCTCACTGCAGCCCTTCCCTCTGTCCCCTCAGTTCCAGCATAGGAAACCATCTCAATCATGACCTTGTGGCCTCTCACCCATCTTTCTCAACAACAAAAACTTGCTCTCCATATCTGCAACTCACATGGGTTCTAAGGAGGTACCCTCATTACACAAGTGACATGTAAGTAAGCCTCACCTTCTGGCACCCGTATCTGAGCCATTTCTCTCCCAGCACGCTTTCCTATTCATCTAGAAGAAACTTCTTATAAACCATCTGTCACACTATATTCCTCACACCGTTGGCTGACCTCAGTAGTGATTGGCCTTGTGGTCAGCTGAGGTGCCTCTAGTTTCCAGCCAGAGCCTCACAGCTCCTTAACCAGAATCCCTAAGTGCAAGCAAGTCCCATAATGGCCCAGTGGAAATATGAACAGGAATACCTAACCATTTTTCCCAAGAAAGAGCCTCTCTGGCAGCCCTGCTGCTGTTTTGGAGCAAGGAAGTCACTCCATGAAGTCCTTAAGCCCTTTCATGACCACTTGGTGGGCAAAACCTCACTGTGCTCACACACATGAACATGACACCCCCTTTTTTTCTTTCTTTCTTTTTTTTTTAGATGAGGAATTGAAGGCCCCAGGAGGGTTTGCCTTCAACCACAATGTACACTAACACTAGTGAAAAGAAATACCCTTCTCCCCATCCCTCCCCACCACAGAGGTGTAGTCTGATGGGCGAGCACAATCCCAGCATCCCCCTGGGCAGCACTCCCTATGGTCTGTGACCAGTGGCTTGGCCTGGTCTAAACACACACACGTTAGTGTGAAATAGCAGAGAAAGGAGCTTCAGATGCCACTGGTGTCAGGGCACTGGCTGGGTTGAGACAATCCCTACAGGTGGTGTTGTGCTGGCTGCTGAACACTGGGAGAGGAGCCATCTTCAGGTATAGATGCCAGCGAGCATTTTATGCTAGCCCGGGCACCTTCCTCAAGGTCACTCTAGCTCCGGATCACACATTTAAACAGAACTCACTGAGTTGCACACATCGGCTCCCTAAATGCTCTCATCAGTGCAGGAGAGAGAAGTGACCATCTCCTGAGTAAGGTCACCAGCCTTAGAGAAACACACAGGAGGGAAGGAGGGAGAGAGAGGAAGAGAGAAAGAGACAGAGTCGGGGGGCATTGAAACCAACATGCTGACGGGGTTACCTTTGGTAGGCAGGGATTACAATGACCCTTTTTGATCTCTGTGTGTGCTGACTATTATAACCACTCGCTTTCAGGACCATAAAGCTTTCAGCAGAAATAAATAAAAGCGTGTGCTCGTGTGAGAAAAAGTACTTTCCCGGGAAAGCTGAGAACACCACACGTCAACGAGGCTTACTGGGTCACAACACAGAACATCTCAATGTGATTTTAAAAATAGTTCCAGCACAGTGGAAAATCTCAGAGCCTGACTGGGCATCGTTCGGATCTGGGTCAAGCATCAAGTGGCTTCCTGGTGACCTTGCACGGTCCTTCCCATCTCTGGGCCTCCCACCTGTCCTACAGTCCAGGGAGGTAGAGAGTGGTGAGCATGGCATGTGTGATGGGGTCCTGTCCCCAACACGGCGGGAGGGAGAGAGCACATCACCAACGCTAGCTTCTGAGGCCGACACCATAGCCAGAACTGTGCGCCGCCCCAGGAGCAGTTTCCAGATGCCATGCTCTCAGCTACCTTGCAGCTGGAAGGGACAGGCTAGCTAGCCATGGACACATCCCCACAGCAGGCCGAGCCCTTCATTTCTGATCTGAGCCAGCCGAACCCCACAGCAGCTGTGCACGTGCCCTCTAGATTCAGGTCTCCTCACCAGCATCCCCACCAGGGCCTTGGGCAACCCCCTCTCCCGTCAGGCCCTTGCTGCTGTCTGGCATAGATGCACGCATCTGTTGTCTCTCCCTGAGACAACAGGTCAGCAATCCTGAGTGCTGCAAGAGTACGGCCCCTGTCTACCCTGTACCACCATACTCTGCACGGCGTCTGACTTGTGCACACACCGTGTATGTTGCCAGAAAGAATGAGTGAGTGAACAAACAGAACGGCAGAAACAACAAGTTAAAGTAACCTAATCGGGGGCCCAGGGTGGAACTCAGCAGGAAAGCAACCAGCCTCACATCCCCATGCCCTTAGTGCCAGCCTCCAGCACTAGAGAAAAAGGAAGCGCCAGTACCCTTCCACAGGCAGAGCGGTGACAATGCACTGTCCCCAGCACTCACAACAGCCAGAAGGGCTCCAAGTGGCCTAGCCAGGAGTCCCCCGAGGCTCGGTCCCCAGGGAAATGTCCTCCAGAGAGGGGTCCAGGTCTCGAGCCTACCTGTCCCTGGATAATGGCTTCAGTTTGCTAGCCCAAGGAACTTCCTAAGAACGCCCTTCTGCCCACCTGCAGGAAGTGGTACTCACCCCTCCCATTCTACACAGCAGGGCCTGCCTCCTCTCCTAGATGGCTCCGCATGTGTGGGGAAGCAGCAGACTGTGACTAGGGGAAGACTAAGAAAGGCTGTGGCTCTCGCTTGCCCAGCTCTGGTCAATATCAGTCATTATCTTCACAGCCGAGAACAGGTTGGACTCTTCCCTCACCAGTGGAGCAGGAGGGTCTGGTCAGTCAGTCACACACACGAAGGATCCCAGTATGATCCAGGGCACCTGTTCAGTTCTTCTATGGCACTCATTGGTAGCTGCAGCCAGCTGAATGGAGCCCGCTACACACAAAGGCTGCCCTCTCTGCTCTCCTCTTTCCTCCGCCTCTCCTTATAGAGCCTCCATCCCCCCACCTCCCCCCAAAAAGTTGTTCTCAGCCACAGTGAGAACTACCCTGACTGGCTCTGTTCAGGGTAGGGCACCAAGGTCTGGCAGGCACCTAGCAGGACTTAGAAGTTGCTTGATAAACAGGGCCCAGGGCCATGCTCTCCACCCCCAATTCAGGGAGTCCCAACCAACAATAGCTTCAAGCCAGACCTGCTGCCCACTACTGATGGTTTTATCCAAGCCCTCCCACTGCACGAGGGAACCAAAGCTAGTAACCAAGAGCAACAAAGCTCTTACGATCAGGTGACCCAGATGATCTTGCCACCGTAGGCTTCTTTTGCAAGCTGCACATAAAAGAATCAGGTGCCCCGTGGGACAAGGACTAGGGGGTCTCCAGAAACAGCAGTGGGGAAAACAGGGGCCTGGGTCAAGCAGCCACTCAGGCATTGAGTAGGAAAACACCTGTGGCCTCAGGAGAGCGGGGTCCTAGCCACAGTAGCAGTGAGCTTTTTAAAAGAAGTTTAACATTTTCATCTGCTGAGTTTTAAGCAGCAACAGAAATTAACATATGAAGTACAGTTCCCATCTAGCAGCTGTGTGTGTGTGTGTGTGTGTGTGTGTGTGTGTGTGTGTGTGAGTGCAGGCACGCACACACAGCTGTGCTTGCAAGTGCTCCCAGGCCAGAGTGGGTGTTCTCTATTCCTTTGATACAAAGTCTGCTACTGACCCTGCAAACTTGCCATTTTGGCTAGGACAGCTGGCCAGTGAGCTCCTAGGATCTGTCTCCGTTCCTCAGTTCTAGGGTTATCTGGGTTGTAGGTGCACTGCAGCTAGGCCCGGCTTCTACTAGTCTTCATTCTCACCACACAGCTGTCTCCCTATCCCCTGGCAGTTATTAAAGATGAGAAAGGCTGGCAGTGATCTGCCCACAAGTGTTCGGTAATGGGTATCTTCTACAGTTTTC